AAATCGAAGCAACAAGAGCCTGAAACATTAGAGATTATTTACAGGCGTTACTATGTTGTCGTTGATGAGCGTGAACCAGCAGGAGCAACAAACTGGACGGAGCTAACTGATAAGGTTACTGCGAATAAGCAAAAAATTCCGTACTACGTGGCTGCGTCATTCAGTGCCGATACCTTACCCGGTCCAAGAAAAGTACGAATTGGTGATGGGTCGGTGATCGGTGGATATCTGAATTATCCATTGGTAAAGGGCAAAAAATACAATTACGAAATTTACTCGATCTGGGAGCTGCAAGGAAAGCCAGCTGTCGTTGCACGTCAGCGAGGTCAGCATCCTTTTCATTTCACTTTTTTTGAGACTCGTACATGGGCACCAAAAGACGGTACGCACACTTGGTGAATGCGGCACTTGTCAACCTAAATCCATCCTTCTTAACTGCACGTTACTGATTCAAGTTTCATCCAAATGAGCAGAATTTTTTGAACCCTTAACGTCAACTTCTGCTGTTACCGAGAACCACTGTCTCGACTTACGCGAAGATCAATAGTGTAATGGCTTAACACGATGCAAGAGAGTTTGTTGTGTTTTACAAATAGTGGTAATCCTCGGAAAAAATGCCGAGAAAATCAAGACCGCATGGACAATCGGTGTGGTACCCCACATTAATAGGTGTTACTGGGATGCTCCCACGATGCAGACAGCAAACAATTGGTTGGTTGGTTTTCTTCCTGATCCTTCAGATTCCTCGTTCCCGCTGATTTCAGTTTGCTTCCAGAACAAGCTGTAAATTCTATCATCTTACAAGTAACAGACATTTCTAACGAAATCATAGTTTTGTGCATTTTTGCTTTATCAAAAATGTGTTTGGTAAAGATTTTTGTCACTTCGTGCTTAAATTTTAAAAAGTGTGGTTCTCTTACAGAAAACCCCGATCCAGAAAAATTACAAAACTAAAATATACTCCTCATTCCATTTATGGTTCACGCCGTTACAAAATTTTTCATTTTTCGTTATCATCATATTCAATAATTTTAGTATTTCGGCCACCATTAAATTTTTTAAATGCTATTGTTTGCAGTAGTAGTATACCATTAGCGTTTTCCATTTTCGAGCCCATAAATGGACTTGAACCGGATTTTTTCACCTTCCTATTCTGCAAAATTGCCTATTTTTTGCGGTATTATTAGTTAAATTTAGGCCACCACACGCACAAATGGACATGGGCCGTTAGACTGGAAAAAACTAGTTGTAAATTTTTATAACCAAACTATCAATTTGATTCTCTGCTCGCTTTTTATTCCATTCCCTTTACTAGCAAGAGAAATGGGAATTTTAAAGGCGGGAAGGCGGGTTATTCCGAATCAAGTTAACACATGGGGCGGATTTATAAAAAAATTAAAGAAAAGAACAGCATTTTTTAAAACTCTTTCTCCTCCCGAGGTCTTCAAGCAAATTCTGGAGAAAGAGTAATGATTGCTGCTGACGAAACTGCTATTACTAGAGCTGTTTTTGAATTTTTCGTCACATAATGAATTGTGAAGGTTTTGATTTTTTGGCGCGGAACTTATACGCCAACTTCTAAGTGAGGCAAACCATAGCTTCAACATGTTATCAC